AACTACTTGTGAAATATCAGTCAACATATAAGGAAACACTTATCTATCAGCATTAATGGATAATAAGCAGGTTTAAATAGAGCTGGACTGTTTCTGTGAAGATTCTCAGTCATTCAGGTCATGGTATCGACAGTTGTACATGTTTACAAACTTGACTCACAAGCATTTTCTGTTGTCTCTTTGAACATGTGCAACTCCTGAAGTTAAATTAAACTATTCTTATTTTTACTGAGGAGTTCAAAATGACTTTAAAAAGCACAAATCTCCTCTTTGCAGGAATTATTGACGCATTGGTGTAATCAGCAACTGCATCATCAACCCTGCAGGTCTGTATCAGCCTCTCTGTGCTGTGTTACTTAACTGTCCTTAAACTCACAATGAGGCTGTTGTTTCCACCATCATGGCAGTAGTACAGACTGCTGTTGGCCTGGAACAGGAAGAGGCCGCTAGGTCGGTGGTAGTCATAGGAGGTGATGCCAGACACGCCCAAACGCTTCCTCTCACGCAGTAGCTCCTCCTCTCGAGAGAAGCCCCCATGGTGCGGGCTGGCCTGAGGTCAGGGACGACAGGAGGAGAAACAGCGTCACAACGAGGGACAAACAAGGTTGAGGTCAAAGACAGTTTTTTCAGGGCATGAAAAACAAACGCACTTTTTACAGTAAGTTCATTGAAGAGAGAAACGCCAGGTAATTATATAAACAACCACAAATCCCCTATATTCAATGATAGGAACTTGTTTTTATCAAATCAATTCAAAACAGTATAACTGTTGTGGTCTCAGTTATTTTATCTTTAGAGGGAGATTTACAACTGTAGCTTTAAATGGTCACAATTATTCTCTAAACAATTAAACATCTGGTGGGAAAGGATCTGAGAGGAGGAGGAGGACGAAGACTCCACCTGAAAGTGATCCAGCATCTGTTTCCATGACAAAACCAGCCGGGCATCTTTGCGGCTCTTCTTCGGAATGTCAGAGTAAAGTAATGTGTTTTCCCTGCTGGCGTAAGGCATTCCTGTCAGAACAAAAAGAGAGTGAGTCCAAGCAAAGCTGATCTGTCGTGTTGGTAGAATCTTACACAGGACTTTTAGGACATGAACAACCTCTGAAGCCAGCAGCTGTTGATATGTGAAAACTTAGGAGAGTTACAACAGAGTTTACGATGCGTCACTCAATTAAAACACAAACTATTCTTACCAAGAGATTAGTTGTCATATTTAAGATTAAATAAATCATGAATGGTAACAGCAACTCAGTGCTTCAGCATGAATTGACCCCCGTGAAATCACCCAGTGATTCATCCTCATTTCAGTCACAAGGTCAATTACATCCTGAACATCAATTACATCCTGAACATCAATTACATCCTGAACATCATGCTATATCTAAAAAGGAAAAACTAGAGATTGAGATGATTCACTTCATATGAAAATGTTTACTGAAGTTTTAAATGAAGTCACTAGAAGCTGACTTCTATTAGAACCAGTGGAGTCACTTCTGCATTGGCTTCACAGGAGAACACAGTTGTTTTTTCTCAACTGTTATGCAGCATTTCTTACAGCTAACGGCTAATGAAGAGGGCAACAACTGCAGCTAAGTATAGAAAATAAACCTCGACCAGACAATAATTGTTGTGGTAACTTCATGACTGCTTGTATGCTCAACATGTGAGTTACCACGAGTACATGTTTCACAGGCCGTGTGTTGGACGTATCACACACCAGATCTAACTGCTTGAGACGTGGCAGCGAAGAAACTGAAACCATTTTACGAAATGTCTGTTGCAACAGAAATATGCAAAATGGTGCTGCTGGTTGACTTTCATTTTTCTTTCTCCAGCACACAGACAGTGAACAGATTCACTGCAGATCGTTGGATATTAAATGAGCTTGAAAATAGTTCCAGGCTGGTAACTGTGACTCACCAGCTGGATCCACGGATATTCACAGAGGCATGCGACTTCTCAAAGAGGCTGAAAAGAAGGGATGTGACTCTGTAGCTCTGCAAGTCACAGTACGCTTACGGCACCATTTCCCTTAACATTAATTGTAGAATATTAATCCATGACAGAGTTCATTTCCCCCTGCTCACCGAGGTAGTAGATGCGGTGGGAGTGCTGGCTGGCCTCGTCCTTCTGGATGAACTGGAAGTCATGTGGCGCCTTGCTGATGACCATGCCGGTGTTCTTGCGGCTGTTGTGGATGATCTTCCTCAGGCCGTCCCACGTGTGCTTCTCCACCTGGAACTGGGTGGGATTCACATCCTCCATCTCCACCACCTCCGTGCTGTCCGAGAGTTCGTCCACCCCCGTCATACCTGCCACTGCTTCTCTGATGCTGTGGGCCGATACAGACTGATCAGTGAATCAGACAGGACAGGTGGATTTCTGGAAGGGGACGCTCAGTGAAGTCATTCAGAGTTTCTCATCAAAAATCCACTCTATCCTCGAGGTGTAATAAATCATTAACTACATTCATTGCTCATATGACAATTGCAAAACTAATTTCATTAATTTGAACCCAAGGTTAATTCATAAACATCTTTTCTCACTGGCAGTTTTATTGATGTTAATCTATTAGAAATACATTTTCTCATCACTTCAGTTGAAATTGAGAACATTGTCAGGACTTGACCCACCAGACAGAAATTATATTTTAGGCAGCAGTCGAAATGAAAAACATATATTTTAGTTAAAACTTTTCATTTAACATAATAATTGGAAAGGAAACTAGATGAACATGGTTCAAGCAATTGAGTAGAAACATTTGCAAACCTTATTACGCCGTCTTCTGTTCTGTCTTCGATTTTCAGCCTCTTTTCTCTGTGCATTAACCGTTCGACGACCCTGAACCAGACCCGACCCCCTGTAGAGAACCAGGTTAACACACACAGAGAGATTTGCTTCAAGATAACACAGAGTCTGACTGACAAACAACTCAAATAACAGGAATTCATTTTAAACACTTGCTCTACACTAAGCTCATGTGCTATCAACAATGAAACCATTACTGAGGCGAAGGCCCCATTCAGGGCAGACGTCTCTCTGCTGCTTCATCGGGGAGCTGCTCCTCTTCAGCCGGCGTTTCCAGCTGTGTTCTGGATACGGACTCTCACTGCGTGTGTGAGTGTTTCAGCTGCATGACTCTGACACTGTATCATGACCATGACAAATGCTGCACTTTCACTCTACATTTTAACCAGACTGTAAACCGAGGCAACACAGGAGGCTGTTTTGTTTCCTGGAGCAACAAAACGAACTGCAAATTCTACAGAAGTTTGTTCCCAGAAAATACTCGAGCATGACAAGTGTTATTTAAAAAAGAAACTATAAAATATACGTCCTTGAATTGGTCACAGGGTAAAGTTGAAACTGTTGATTCTCACACTGTCTGAACCATCAGCTGTGAAACTATACTTATCTATCTTCTGCTTCTGTTTCTGCAGTGACTGCAACTCAAGCAGACACAGCTGGTTTCGGTATTAAGTCGACAGTGGTGTTTGTTCCTGTTGATACGCGACTTCAATAATATTCTATCAACTAAAAAAGGAAATATTAATAGTGAGCTCATTAAATATGATTGAAGCACAGTAGTGGTAGAGAAGCAGGAGAATGTACTCACATGGTAAAAGTCCTATTAAATATAAGATTATTATTGCACATGCATGTATAAGAAGTGTCCTGTTGTTGTAGTTGGCTGCACCATTTTAACTAATGTGTGAAGAATCATTATAATCAAATCATTTTCATTCTGCAAATCAAAAAGTGAGAGAATTACCCAGAGCTGCAAGTTTCCCACTCACTTCAAACTAATGCACATGTCTTCGTTATAAGCACTAATTCATATCTTCACAATTTGATATTGTAGTATTTTGTATAAGCCTTTGCTTTGCTTTAAAAAGATCAAGTCATTGAATCCACAGCTTCAGTGAAGATGTGTGACGATCATCTGTTAGTCTGTACATGTTCTTAACATGTGGTGTGATTGTTTCTGTTTGGACGGATCAGCTGATGAAGTGTTGACAGGCTGACCTGAGAACATGTGTCTGAGTCGCGCTCTTTAAACCCGACAAGATGTGAGCTACCTCAGAGCCTGGATGCTAGCAGGTTAGCCGCCCGTTAACCCCCGACTCGTTAGCAAACTTAACCATGACAGCGATGATTAAACCCGGTGGTAACAAGTGAAAACAGAGCGACGGCCATTCGTGTTGAACTCACACTTTCTGCCCACGGACCTCCGGAGTCTCCCTCTGTGAGGAGAGACACGTGTGTGTTTAATCAGCGTCTGAAAACACCGCAACTCCTGTCAAACAGAGCGGGGAGCTAGCTTCAAGCTAATGCGCTAACGGCAGCGAAACGCTCCTTGAATCAACGATGACCTTTAACCCGGAAGTTATCCTTCAGCTTTAGTGTTTGTTTGTTTTTACTTCTTTTATCTTCCGTTTTCACCTTTCACCGAAATAACACCCCCCCCCCCATCCCAGCTGTGTTGTGAAACACGTGGTCCTCGTTGAGAGGAGATGCTGAAATATTATTTTCATTTTTTTATAAGTTCTTATAAATACCTGAAAAGTGATGGGAGTTCTGTTTCATCTCAGTAAAGGTAGTAAAATAAACAACCAACATTGTTTTTGAGAACCTAGTGTGACGACTGTCTCCAAAACCCCAAATATTCACAGTGGAAATGCTATAACCATCCATGATCAGTTAATCCGATTTGTGTTCTAGATTGATAGTCTATCATATAAAATGTCAGAAAATACTTTAAAGTTTAAAACCAAAATATACTTTTTAAAAAGATGTAACACAGATAACAGGAAATATATCATATATAATTCTTTCTTTAAAAACAATTGATTGTCAAAATGTTTGCAGACAATCAACTCGTGAATCTATTGATTGTTGCAGCTCTAAATTAGTTGCAGATCTACTCTGCAGGACTATCCACTGAAATACCCGAAGCAAATAGAATCAACATCCACGACAATCGTTGTATCGATAAAACATTTATTTTTGTAATAATTTGTCCTTTTTTCTTTTTGCATAAGTGCAAAAAATGCACCCAAAACAGCCACCTGAGGGAAGTCTACATCTTTAAATAAAAAAACAAGCAAAGTGTACATTTATCGTACAAAATTCTCTTTTTAAAAAATTGCACAGTTTGTGTATAATATATATATATTCATAATCTCCATTTTAAACAAACTTTAAAGGCTCAGAAAGTAAACAAAATTCACCAAATGAAAAATAAAAACATTTTTTCCCTAGAATTTAAAGCTGAGGAAACTTGAGACCCTGTTTTCATTTGTGTCCACCATAAATATACATATTTATATGCAAGTCTCTTTACATATAGTCTCTGTGCTAGTGTTTGACCAGACAATCAAAATTATTGCAAAGTAGTTTAGTTCTACTATAAAACATGGGGTAGGACGTGGGGAAAAAAAGCTTCTTTCTGCTGAATCTTCCTTAAGTTAGGCAAACAAAAAACTTGGGTTTCAGTACACCCCTTTAGAATTTACTGGAATCCCTGCTTTCGTAAAGGTTCCCGTTTCACAAACTGTGTGTATTCAACATTCCCATAGAAGGATCCAGGACTCCAGTTTAGCTTTTTAGCGAAAACAAACATTTCCCTGACTTCTTCTTTTTTAGTTGTTTTTGTTTTTCATCTTTACACAGCGCCCATAACCAAAGGTGGCAGTCAGCGTCGATACGGGTGGAAGCCTTGTACGTTGTGGTTCTGCCCTCTGCCAAACGCATTGGCGGCCGTCTGGGGGGCGGCGGGCTGCGCTGTCGGTGCCCCGTACGAAGCCGTTGGCTGGTTGGGGTCTGCGAAGCTGTGGCCGAAGGCTGTCAGGTCCTGGCCGTACCCTGAGGTGGAAAACAAAAAGGAGGGTGGAGCAGGGAGAAGAATGTTTTAATGTCAGCGTCACCAGACGTCTTTACAGAAAACTCTAAGTCCTTTAAAAGTACTGATTAAGTGGCCTGTGTAAAATACTCAGAAGTTTGATGATGAGGAAAAAACCCATTTACCCTCACACTGTTATATTTACTGGTACATGTCTGATGTTTGTAAGCGTTTTCATTCTTGATGATCAATAAATGTGCTGTAGCACATGAAAGTACTGGGATGTGACATTATATCATAAATTATTGTTAATATTGGAATTAGATTTTAATTTGTAGTTAAGTAGTGGAAAATGATGTGGAGAACACAGTGTTCCTCAGTTATACCACTAGATGGCGCAAATAGACAATGGTCATACAGGGAAAGAAACTAATCTGCCTGTAAAAGATGCTGTGTATCCCACAGTGCAGCAGCAACTGTGCAAACCAAAGGGACATCGTGGTTGAAATAGGGCTGACTTGTTAACTGGATAAAAAACACAGTTGCAGCCAAATCTTTCCAGCATCTTGCTGGTGATTGGTTATCATATTAATATATTCTCTTAGAACTAGACTATGATTTGTAAATGTCACCAACAGATACTGGAGTACAGAGAGTTATAAATGACTGGAGTGGAAAGAGAAGAGGGAGAAAAAGTGAAAGAAAAGACAATTTGAAAAAGCATTGGTTTTGAGGTGCTCAAACTCTGAACAGGGAGCAGTCCCGACAGGAGCATCATACACAAGAATCAGAGAGAGATTGAAAATTTACGGGCATCGTGTACTTCTTTAAATCTTCTTTCCTTTCTCACCCCTTGAGCTACAATGTGGAGACAGTACAGGGGGTAAAAACAACGGGTGAATGGACTGCGCTGATGCACAGAGACAACTGAACCATGAACAGATTTCTCTGACAATTAGATCATCCTTTTACAATCAGCAAAGCAATGCGGACAGTGAGGAAACAAAAAAAGGAGGACATGGCCAGTCTTGGTATAGCAAAACTACAGCCTCGAGGGAGATGACATGCTTCAAACGCAAAATGCCAAATTTCTCTGGCTGCATTTTACTATACAAGAGGATACACACAGTAATTTGTATGTACATGCAAAATGTACATGCAAAATACTAAACACAGAGCAAAAGAAGAGAGGCAGGACCGGGTTGCAGCTCTATAAACTCTACAGGACTTAACAAATGCTTCTTTGGAGAAGACGATGCTGGCACCTACCTGCACTATATCCTCCCTGCTCATCCTGACCATAACTGTGAGAAGGACGCGTTGGTCCGTAGGCAGAGGGGTCCTGAGGGTAGTTACCCAAGCCTATCAATGAGATGAGGAGACCAGGTTGACTGAACCCAGATACTGCTGGCCGACTACTTTACATAGTTCCCCCCTTATTGAGCTTTAAGAGCTTTACACTCAGTTACTGGGTCTGCACTACAGCACTGCTCAGCTTCATCTGGAAGTCAAAACAAAATGGAGTGTGAGTGTGTGAGCTTTCTGCTAGCACGCCTGACTTTGTATAAAATCATGCCAGCCTCGTCTCAGGAAATTTTGTGAAATGCGCATGATATGCCAGTAGATGCCAAAAACATGAGGAATGTTTTCACACAAAGAAAATATTATGAGATGGCAAATAAAAGCAGGGACTAGCACAACCACACCAGCAGATCTGCATGTCCTCCTGAATAGAATGTCTTGTATACGCGTCACAAAAATTTTCCAAAGTAGACCAGAAATTTCTAGATTAATTTATGTGCTGCCATCACTGGACTAAATGCCAGACGACACTAAATGCAGAAAGCTGGATGGAAGAGAAGCACAAGCTAGATGGACACCTGTTGTGACTGAAAGCGACCACATGGCTGCTTTAAATGTAGCTCCAGCAGTGTGAAGTAGCTGTAAGCCAAATCAGAGGTAAAATACCAGCCAGCCAAACGCTCTTATCTGACTGTAATTATGTTGCTGAACGGGTGAATGTTCGATGAAGACAAAGCTTGTTCCTTTTCCCTGGATGCTGGTTAGTTTTCGCATTATTTTATCTTTTGGTTTGGTTTAAAGCTGAAAACCTCCAGATCTCAGAGTCTTTATTCTAGGCAATCACACAGTGTGTCACTGGAAATGTTGCCCATCTGTTTGTTTTCAATATAGAAATTGATAAAGCACATCATCATCTACATTCAGTGAAGTGGCTTGATGAAACGTCTCATTTTCAAGTCTCAGCTGAGTAACAATAATTGGGACCCAACACAGTCCAAAGGTGATATTAGACCAGACTAACAGTCCAGTTCAGAGACCACAAAGACTAAAAGTAAATCTTACTTAGACATATTTAAAAAAATGACTTTGCCTAATATCTGTACATATCTACAGGGCACCAGGGTAAATTCACATTTTGCACACAAGCATGCAAAGCTAATAAACTGTAGGACAAGTTGAAAATCCTAGATCGGGAACTTGGCGGGTTGGACATGCCTTTTTTCCAGAAATAACACAGGCCTAATATTGTCATGCTGGTGCTCTTTTATGGCGATCGTGCCAAGTCCAGGAAAAGAAACCAGCAAAGTCACAGACAGGGAGGAAGGGGAAGAGGAAGAGAAATACGGGGTGGAGGCAAGAGAAATGAAAAGACAGGAGTATTTGATTCAAGTAAAATAAATGAAGTCAGTCAGGAGAGGGATGCACTCCCATAAAATCAAAAGAAAATAAAAATGCAAAAAAAAAAAAAAACATTGCAAGACAGGATGATCTAATTCAAACCTACCAAGACCTACCAATGTTTTTTTACCAATCCACAGCCAGGCTGGACAAACTTGACGGAAATGCCTGCTGAGGACTCCTGGATGTGGTGAAACTTCAGCAGCATCTTTATGGTAGAGGCAGAGGGGTTCATGTATGCAAGAAGCATGTATGCATGTGTAGCTGTTCAAGCTAAATGGAACCAAGAGCGAGGTCCTGCTTGTTTTTACGATTCTAAATATGAACTTAAATAAGAGGTAGTTGCAACCATTAATCATTGAGGGAGATGGGCAGGGGCTGAGGGGTTGATTCAAATTAAATGGGAAAGAAAGGGGCAGCAAACTGTTCTGTGCACAATGTTTTTCTTACCATACTGGCTATAAGGGAAGTCGGGCTGCCCGGTGGGAGCTTTGCTCAAGTCCTGAGTTGGTGTGGTGGCGGGGGCAAAGCCCAGAGGAGCAGTTCCTGGTGTGGTGGGTGGAGGAGGAACTTGTGGAGCATACTGGTCTGCTTGGGGTGTGCCGAAACTGTAACCTGTGTGATAGGAACAAGATAGTTTGTCTGACCATAATGATAATTTCTTTATTTCATTAATGTTGTACATTATAACAGGAAAATACTAAATAATTGTGACACAAAGTCATTGACTTGAGCAAAATATATATACATATATAATATATTCAGTTGTATTTTCAATATTAAAAAAAATCCGGTTGACCATACTATCACCTGAAAACAGTAAATAGTGTAGGTATTTAAATTCATCCACCAAATCTAATCTCAGTTTTGGCTGTAAGAATAAAAGTTGGGCAACCACGTATTTTGAAGGGACCAGCTGCCAAATTCAATGGTCCCTACTCTGTCAGCACACTTGAAACAGATAATTCTGGACTTCTTTCCCATTTTGAAACGTTTGTTGGTCTATGATTTACATATATGTAGCTTGGCCTGCTAACAGGTTTAACTGGATCAAGGTAATAATCCACCATGAAGGCTTCTTTTTAAGCAGCAGTTCATGAAACTCAGCAATCTGTCCCTGTCTGATAAGATGGAGGTTCCTCCCTGTCCACAGCAAGAGCAAAGCTGCCAAGAAAACCTGTCATGGATTAATTTTACACATTTTACATGAACCTTTTGAATACAAATACATGAATATCAGATTTAAGAAACTCATGATAATTCACAGTGTTATCCTCACATATGCCATATTATCTGTAAGCACTTAGTAGTGATGTCAAAGCAGCAGCAAAGTGTAATGAGTGGGTGCATCGTGAACTACTGACCAAACTGAGGTGCTGTGCTGTAGCCCTGTTGAGGGTAGCCCTGAGGTGCAGCAAAGCCACCCGCTGGGGTTGTGACCAGGAATGCGTTGAAAGGTGATGGAGGCTGTGTGGGTGTTCCCCGGCCTGCAGTCAACGGAGGTACATACCCGCCTTCTCCAACAGAGAACAGAACTAGGTAATATGTATGATTTATGTAAATATCTGGATATGTTACACATATATGATCAGTTCCTGAATTAAACAGACAGGCAATAACAACAACAACAATGAAGAGTTGCAAGACAGATGTATCCAAACCACATTAGCTTCAATTTGTTATGGTTTTAATGAAAAGCTGAATCAAAGACAAAAGGTTTAAAAACTGCATCTGAAGGTTTCTATCTGAAGCTGAATGACAATGAGGTATCCTTTGAGTGAACACAGGGCAGACACTGCAGTGAGTCCTGCAGGTTGACCCGGAGGTGGTGATATGAAACCGAGCCTGACCAATAGCAGAGGGAGGCCAGAATACATTCAAGGCTGCCATCTGTCTCAAATAGAAAATTATCAGCAGCCTCAGCCATTATGAATCAGTGATAACACGTGCTGTTAACTGTCATCAGCCCATTGGCCTCCCTCAATGCAGGCCCTCTCTGTGACACAAGCCTTTGGAGATAAGAACAGATAACATGGCAAGCAAGCGAGCAAACGAGCAAACAAGCAAACAAACAAATACACACACACACACACACACACACAAACACATTTATCTGCAGTTTGATTAATTCACTATTCTGCAACATATGCTGTGTGTGTGGTCAAATAGAGGTCCAACACCTACCTATGGGTTGGCCAGTGGTCGACACCCACACTCCTTCAAAAAGAGAGAAAGAAATTTAGACTAAGGATAATACTGACGCCTGAAATATGAAATGTTCACATAATTCAGACAGAACAACCGGTGACCACCCTGCACAAGGTTAATGTTAGAGGAGAGGATTAAACACATTTAAACAGTTACTACTGGGTTTTCCTCTGAACAAAGAGTCTCACTCGCTCTGCTCTGGGACGTGTTCCCACTCACCCTGTGGCCCGTATGGCTGTTGCCAGCCCTGGGCAGGCTGTGCTGTCCAACCATTAGCTGCACTCAAGATGCCCCTGGGTGCCCACTGGCCAGGGCCAAGCTGGCCAGGAGCTTTGCTGTCACGAGGTTCAGCCTTCTTTACTTCCACCTGGACAAAGGACAAGGAGGGCACATTTGGCAACACCGGTGTAAGATCTGCACGACCCTCACCTAGACAGACCTCTCCTAGCACTGATATTCAATCTCACATTTTGGGCCAGGTTGAAAACTTTTCACTCTATGTTTATCAGAATAATATGGGGCAGCTATGTTAATTAATATTACTGAGTAGCCTGGAGAGATGTACAGCTATGTGTCTCAGGTACTAATTTTCAAGCAGGAATTTCAGATTACCCAATATCAGATTGCAAAAACAGTACACATGAATAACAGATAATTATTTTAATCGTCGCTTTTTATGATGTGCCTGAGAAACATAGATTTTCCTAAATGTTCCTCAAATTAATTGCCCTATATATGATAAAGACATCTAATGGAAGGTCATGACTTACCTTTCTCCAGCTAATGCTTACAAAGAATATCTCATTTTTATTTTAATCAGAATAAGTTTTTTTGGAGGGGGAGGGGTGTAGAGAGAAATCTGTATCTCAGTTCTAACAGAATATAAAGTAAACATGCAGATAGTACAAATGAACAGTCTTTTTATCTAAAACTGAATCTTCATACTGTGTCAAAGGTGAGAAAATAGTGACTGATACAGACACCAATATAATGTCGAATTATACTGTCAGCAAAATCAAAAATATCCTAAAGTTATAATTAAGACTCTAAGTTTCTTTTAGTTTATATTTATGTTAAAATGCTACTTGGATTATTAAGGGATTATTGTTTTACACTGTTAATTTATTAAAGCTCAGACACTGACTTAATTCATCCACTTCTTCACTTATATTTCAGTTTTATATATTGTCCGATGTAAACGTCTCATGCCTTAGTCAATAATAAAATGAATTGCCCCAATAAGAAAAGTTTCTTGACTGTAACTAGGCAAAGCTAGCAGCAGTTAACCAGAGCAAAGAAACAGGCTGAGACTAAGGGGGAGCCAACCTGAAATAGACTGAGAGGTTGAGTTATTGGGGTCACCTTGCGGGAGGAAAACGAATAGCAAATTCCTCCCCGCTTTAAGGTGGTGCCACCTTCCCCAGCCTCCTCTTCCTTCTCTGTCGACCTAATTACATGCACATGTTTCCGGCAGTGGCCTCGCCGCCGCCGGCAGCTACCTGAGCGCTTTCTCCCGTGGGCATCACAGCTACGAGTGATGGATACCATGACTTCTGCACAGTCCCTAACAGCAGAACTGGGATTTGTTCCACAGTTTGATGTGCTCCAATTTCTAATTTTGTAACTCATATCTCCCAGGCTCCCACAAGTCCCAGCGTAAGGTAATGTCAAGTCAAGAACAATGGATTAAGTTGAGCCTTGATTCATGCTGAAAAACCAGGGCAAAGTCAAGGGGGGCGAGTACACACTGGAGAGTACACAGGTTGGTCTGAAGCATTTACTAAGGAAATGGGATTGAGATCACCACTGTAATAATCTGACATTTAAATAAAAATAAATCTTGTGTTGCTTCCCATATCTTTGATCAACATGACGAAAATCCTTCTTTAACATGTCTGAGGTGAGTTCTGACATATTTTCTTATCATCACATTAACGGGTGACTGGTAGCTAATTTTTGGGGAAAAAAATGTCCTTGAAATATTAGTTTGTTAAACTGCTGACCAGAAACCACAACATCCATGATTCACGTCTGCCTCAGGGACATCTGCTAGTTATCATTCCCTAATTCATACCTGACACTATATATATATATATATATATATATATATATATATATATATATATATCCCTTATGTTCTGTCATCTTTCTACTGTCGACTCTCAAATAAAAGCACAGAAGACTCCAGAAATAAGAAATTAAAAATAAATGCTGAAATATACAAAGAGGTTTTCGGTGTTTGGAGACAAATATTTAAGATACTTAACGCAGCCATTTTAAGATTGAGGACAGAAGCAGGAGACATATGATGATATGACTGAGAGAATTTAACTACGCTGTGTTTGATAATTTTCTTATGCCCACTAATCATTACTGTCTCTCTGCTGGTTTCCCTGTATTTTAGTTTGGGGTTGATAATGAACGAGCACTTAAAAAAGGTTTAAACCCAAGCGTTGGACCAATCTTTGTAAGATGCATGAACACAAAACACACAACACTGTTTTTTTTCTGCTGAGGAGCCAGCAGGTGTGTGGTGTTTGCCAGGAGGTTATTAAGTGTGTTTAAATCTAACACCATAGTGAATTTATTGTCTTTTCCCAGATGGACAGCTTACCTGACACTGTCTGAATTGTCTTTGTGCTGAAAAACCTCATCCATCTGGTGCAGCCACTGAGTTTAAGTCAACACTAAGTGAACTGCATACATTACTGTGCCTGATCCGAAACCGCACTTTAGATACTTCTGATTAGATTTTAAATTGACAAAACTGGGGGACACAGTATGGAGATTCTTTGACTGAGGTCACTGGGTTGAGCTTTTTCTTTTAAATTTAAAAAAAAAAATGAAATTAATAAATAAAACAAAACATGTTGACGTGTAAGTGACCTGCCAACAAAATATCAGAAAACAAAAGAAACAGAACAGAATTAGACCAATCCTTTAGGTGATTTGTAGTCTGTGAAATTCAGCCTTAACTGTAGAATTTAATATTATTTTAATGGCACATTAAAAGACCAGTTTGATTTGAATGTTTTGAGTACAATTTATTGCACTGAAGACATCCTAAAGGAGTGGTCAGTTTAAACAAAGCCTTGGGTGACAACTCAAACTGTAATATAACAGCATTTGTCAAGCATTAGTGAACTTTAGAAACTGTGAGAGCAATAGAGTGAGCAAAATAAGTTGAGACATGTCAGCAGCCTGATTTTCCTATGATTTAAAATGCTTAATTTGCGCCGTACAATTACAGTCACTGAATATAACATAATGAATCAGCATCATGGCTCAATTCTTACTGTGTCACCCAAGCCTCCGTTTGATCTTAAGGGTAAAATAAAACTACAACTACACACTTTTTTGCCCATGATGTCGTGAAAATGCATGTTGACAGCCTGGTCCACTGATTGTTCGGCCTCGAAAGTAATAAATCCAAAACCTAGCCAACGACCAAGAGTGAATCAAGGTAGCAGGGGGGTTGTGACAACACAAGATGAAGAACAGTATTGGGCTCCAGCAGAGTGAGGATCCGTCAAGACTGAGCAAGAGGCTCCTGGGGTTCGGATGATGTCGCAGACTTGCAGAACAACACAAATCCAAGACTAAGGCCTGGAGGGATTGAGGGAAACTTCTCTTTACTGTGCAGAGAAATATTTTGTGAATACAGGATACAGGAGTGTTTAACTGCTCAACATGCAGAATGACAGGTGCAGTGTTTGATTTCACGTGAAATGTCACAGAACAATGAAGTCACTCTTTTGCCCTCTAACATTGATAAATGCCAATTGAACCAATACCAGGTTGTGTTACTTCATGCTGTTTCATCCAAACCCCACCTTGATCTGTCCCTTGGTATATTGCTTTGGAGCACACACTCGCAGCAGCCATTGTTAATGCATCACAAAAATATGGAGAAACACAAACTGTAGAATGCCTAAAGCTTTCTCCAAGCTTTCCCAATTTCAGTATTTTTACTTTTGAGTCAGCCAGGATAAGCCTAAAATGGACAATTAAAATATTGTTCACAACAATAACACAAAGATATAGGCCATGACTGGTTCCCCAAAGTGACAAGTTGTTGATTTTGCTCAAGAGATTTCATGGGGGGTACACAACGTTCATCAAAAAGAACACAAAGCCCAAAGTTTACAGATTTCTTATTGAAGCCGCACCGACTGCTCGGTAAACTACTCAATCTGTAACAGAACTTTTTCAGTGTTACCAGGCCACCTCGCGCTGCGGTGATCTACTTTCAACTTGATTAACTTTCAGCTGTGGCAGAATTGGGTTGTGTGCACATCTCTACTTGGGGACTTAACCTCAATCCAACGGAACCTCCTGTGAGACAACTGATATTTTGGAGACCTATAGTAACATGCCAAGCGTTTCCCCAGCCTCATGATCTATCACTATAAATAAGATCTGTCATTGACCCGTCCTTCATCTAAATTTAAAACCAAGTTGACACATTAAATTTTGACATATCTTGGTTACACTGACTCAGTGACACTGAAATTGATAATTGACTCTAATCAGATATCAGCTACAGATGAGACTCGTGGGTTCTAAATAATTTCACACTAATGAAACTAAATGTGGACCGTCCATCATTCAGACGACTACTCATGGAGCTGGAAAATAATTTAATAATAATATATGACTGGATGCAACAACTTTTCAAGTAATACGTCAATCGACCTAATTTATTGGCAAAAAAAGTGTGACAGTCACAAGTATCTTTTTACTGAAAAATCAAATGTGAATATATTCCTGATTTCTTACTTTTCTACAGTAAACTTAATAAATGTGGCTTGTGGACTGTTGGTCAGACATATCTGATGCTTGAAAATCTAACAGTGGTTTTTCACCATTTATTGACAATTAATTGATTCAACAATCAATTATGTGGCCATATCCCCAAATCTTAAAATCTTAAAATCTTAAATTCAGAGGATGCAAGTGAACATAGGTTGTGATGAATACACACAGATTTAGAATGAAGACTTCATAACATGTCGATAAACCTTGATCAAACTCTGTAATTGCTGGGAACATTTAAGCTTGAGCCCAGTCAACAGTTTGATGCAACTTTGTGTACGCCCCATTGTGGCCAAGTGAAAAAATCTGAGTGCTTTTACATTTGGCCTGTACCTCTGTGCTACCAGTCAATGCACAGTAACCTAAAGGAGAAAAGACAAATCTTAAAGAGACACAGTTAATCACGTCAAACCATTCACAAGGAGAAGGGGGACAGAAGAAAGAAAAGTAGAAAAGGGCTTACTTACAAAAATACTTAACTTTCTACATATGGGAAAACACATACTATGTCGTTTAAGATAAATGTGTCAAGTACGTCTAAATCTGGGTAAAGAAAACTTACACCAATGTTCAAAGACTAATGGTTTTAGTAAAAAGAAATTAGTTATACTATTAAAGATTATGTAATGGTAGTTACAGATGCAATACATCATGTTAAATTCCAATGACAAACTTTTCTGGGTTTCTCCCAACAGAGAATGTATGGTGTTTGGAAGGAAGAGCAGGCTACACATCATGGCTATGTAGGACAAAGGCAGATGAGACAGCTGTGACTGTAACTCAGAAAGCAGAGTCTGACACCAACACTGCCGGTGGCAGGGGTCTGATTCCCAGTGAGGCCATCCATGCTTAAAGTGTCGGCACATGTCAGACACTCATGATACATTTAGGATTTATCTGGACAAACTCTTCTGATATATTAATGTCCGTCACCGCTACTGTCAGGAATCATGTTGAAAAGATTTCTGGAGTACGAAAGGACACGTAAAACATTTTAATTATTCCATTTGTTTTCAAGATAAGAGTTTTTAATTATAATCACCTTCAGCAACCGCGATGGAACCGGCCTCTGTGAAGGACAAATATTCCCGTAGATACTGACACTGTTCTCAATATGCCAGATGCATGTTGTGTCTTTTTGGAGCGCCTACTTTTTGTTCTTCAGTTAGTGAGTCTCCTTGCATCCAAGAACTGCTTTTTACAACTTTCCAATTAAACTTCTTCTATTTGATTTGGTTTTAGTGAAAAGATTTTCTAGTATTGAAAAATCTACATATATCTACAAAATCCAGCAATCTGTCTGTGTGTATATGGAGCACATACTGAATCTCGAAAAAGTTCATCTTATTGGCTTCACACTTTTTTATTTTAAAGGCCCAAGGAAGAGCAGAGTAACAGTTTGGTACAATTTGTACACCCAATACATTTGGGGTTCTGCGTTCAGAGTCGAGCTTCACAGAACTGTAAATAAACAGGTGACCAGCTCTTTGTGCAGTAGAGGTGACACTTCATCTGGACTGAGTCTGCTCAATTACTGCAGGTCACTTTTACAGTTCCAGAAAGAAAACATGTTTGGAATGGGCACTGCACTAGTTTGTCCAACTCCCCAAAAGATCATATCTTAAATAATATGCAGCTGTATTGTAATCTGCTTTATTGATACTGGTGTGGGGACAAAGTGGCATCCCTTATTCTTATAAGGTTTATTTTGAAATTGTTAATTAAATAATCAGTCACGCAACAGAAAATTATTCATAATTATTCTAAATTATTCAACAACAAAATTGAGAAATGTGGAAACAAATGTGGAAAAATTTGACTGGGCGTGGTCTGTCAATGTGTGTATGTTAATATGGGTTTGAGAAAAATGTGCCTTGAGAATGATTTATTTCCAGAGAAAAAAGAAACCAAGTAGAAATGTGTGTAAGAGACAGACTGGAATTGTCCCACAAGGTCAGGTAGGACACGGCATGATACCATCTGTTAATGTTTTATGTGAACAAATTATATGTAATACTGAACAATTTTGTAGCAGAACCATAAACTGAATGTACGGCCATCAAGCCTGCTAAAGAATTTAATGTTCTTGACCTGGGAGTGATATATATTTCACTTCAGTTAATGTCCGCTGTAACGACTTTGTCTGTGTTTCTGCGGCATGCTTTTATTGCATTTTGTGTTTTATTGTGTGCCTTTACCATACATAAAATTGCTGTTAAGGGTTACAGTGTTTTAATTGAATTGAACATCTGGGGCTGAAGGGGCTTTTTTCTCTTTGGGCCAGAATAGTTTGTCATGAGATTTAAGATGGTAAGGTATGGGGAGGGGAGAGAAGAAAAACGGGATCAGCTTTTACCTCGGGGCCTCTGCTTCTCCGCATCATAGATCATTACCACCTCTGTGACCTTGAATGGGACAAAGGGAAACAGTGGCTCCATTTAGAAAACCAGGCAGGATACCTTTTTATTCCAATTAAAATATTCAGCCTTAATTTGGTCAAATAAATACTCTTCCTATTACAATCCCACAACCTTTTTATACAGTAGTATTGACCCTGTTCAATGTCACATCCATTCAAGCAGTCTCTAATGAAGATGTGAACTGACTTGCATTGTGTGCTTGGCAATACTCACCACTCCAAATCTATTGAAATAGTCCCTGAGTTCAGGCTCGCCGCAGTTATGGGGGATTCCACCTACAAATATCTTCTTTGATTTATTGCTATCGGCTTTGCTGCCCTTCTGAAAGAAAACAAGGAGTGTATGGATTTCAATGTCTGTTAAAGGATCACTCTGAGAGGGAGCCAGTTAGCCATCATCTATTCAGACAGTGCAGAAGAAATTAGGTTCTCCTCTTGCCCTGGGGTATAATTCTTAACATGTCATGTCAATGCAAACACTGGTCTCCACAGATCAGAGAACACGGCTTCCTCCACTTACTCTCTACGGCTGAGCATTGCTGTGCACTGCACTTGTGCTATAAAGGCTTGATGCTGCCTACAACCATTTTTACCAATTACGTCTTCTGCTTTGTTAGTAAAACATTCAGTAACAACTACATGACTTAAACTCAGTGAAAGGAGTTCCAGTAGGAGGAAGAGAGCCTCATTTATAAAAGCATCTCACATACAAAGCCTGTGCTTTCAGCCAAATATGTGACTTAAAAAAATGTTTTAATGACAGCAGCGGTGCAATAACAAAAGCCTTGGCTGCCCAAAGGGACAAAATTACTATAATAGAGCTGCAGGGGATTGATAGCATTGTTGATCGACCCACAAATTGCCCAAGTTGGTGCAGAGATTTTTGCCTGACAAAATGTGCACTGCTGAAAGCTATTTTTTACCACAATAGCTTACTTTCTGTATGTATGTGTTTTTGCTGTTTTAATAAAGAAAAGACAATTGCAAGGACAAAATATTATATCTTAACTTCAAGATCAAGAAAACTGCAGCATCTAAATGAAATAATGCAAAGATAAAATTCATGACAACCTCATGAGTCATTTTATCAACATCTGGGAAATTGTGACGTCATTATGTGTCAATACCAGGCTAGTGTATGCTCTAACAGAGATCTGCTGGAATTATTGCAGTCCCTTGGTCACAAATAGAGGTCGATACAAGTCGTACGTTCTTAAATGCTTCTGTGATTTATCAAAGCCCCAAACTAATTTCAAGGACTCTCAAGGGTATAACGGCTTGTCATTGTGATTTTTAGAAAAAACGAAATATCTGAAAATAAAATTAAGATTCAAGTCAGAGTGGTTTCATTAATGAAGCTCAAGATTCCTGAATTCGACCTCATGAGGAGGAGGGATTGGTGAGACTGAGGACTTTTAGCCTTAGTCCAGCAGAAACACCTAGCCTTGCCTTCCCCATAAGAAATCAGATTCCTCTTACCCAGCCCTCTTTGGTTCGAGACTTTTCAGGCTGCATCCCCCTGGGAGTGCATGGCTTCGGGTCAATCTGACAGCAGAGAGAGAGAAAACGTTTTCTCAAATTAAAGGTACCTTAAAATGCTCATATTCGCACTTACATT